CCTAAAGGAAAGTACTTTTCGCCACACAAACACGATACGTAGCAAATCCTCCATCCTACACTACCATTTCCATGAATTCCAGCCTAGCACACTTCGAAACTTTTCCTACACTTTTTACATTTTGTGAATTTGAGTTTTTAGTGCTCCTCCATCGAATGCCCGCACCCAGAGCAATCTCCTTCCTTAGCTCGGCCAGAGCTAATCGAAATCTTATTATACTTGAGTTCTCTAGGTTTGGATTCTATTATTTGCGTATCGTTCAACTTATGGAAGGACGGATAAGTCTTGCTTTTGACCCCGAGGCCACTTGCAAGGCTCCCTAATGGGGCTGACTGCGCTAGCACTTGAATGCTCCAATGGTTCAAATTTCCGTCCAAGTACGCCTCGTGAACATGACTTGTGAACATTCTGCCTATCATGGTGGATAGGCCTTACTATGCATTTCGAGCCTGCAGAATTCCTGTTTCGTGCATCGAATAGCGTAATACTGTGGCGGCTGCCTAATCGTGTCGGTACCGGCGTCTAGGTTTGCACATACACAAAAAGTACATTAAGTAGCATTTGACACCCTCCTCATTTGTCTTGCATATCTAGTAACTCCACGCTCTAATTGGATATTGACATTTGCCCCGTCTGTTATTCTGTGTTGCTTCAATTGAAATCATCAGCAATGAGATAAAATTCTCTCAGCAGTAAGGAAATGGCAGGTTGTATCGATCAGAAGTATTAACCCCACTTAGGAGAGCAACAGTAATTGCCGTGCCCCGTAGCTACCACGGACCTCACGTTGCCTTTAGACATAAATGGAAAGTCATGAGGTCTAAGTAAAATCAATAGGATTAGGAATAGATATGATGCAGAAGGATTTTGTGACTAACTTATCTGAATGGATCTTGTTATATACCTTGGGCGAGGGTGACGACACAATCTCAGTCTTTAGTCACTAAGCCTATCTCAATTAAAGCGATTCAAACTGTTCTAACGAATGATTACGCAACAAGACTCAGGGCAGCAGTCTAGAATATACTGTTATTTGTGTGAATTTAAAAGATGTTAACGTTCTAAGATGCTTATTAATTTCTTGGCCATGACGGGGGTCTCTTGCACATATAGCCGAACGTTCGGAGTAGAGCACCCGGAACTTTATGGTAAAGTCTGGCATCTGAAGAAGTTGCGATCCTATCAACCGAGGATACGGTTGGGATTGTAATTTGAGCAGATTGAATTATGGAGAGATGACTTAGGCCTGTGGTCTTGGAGAGATTTGCGGTTCCGAGGTAGCTGATGGACAAGGACATGAAATCTTGTGGACAAACTGGCGAATCCATCAGAGTTGGGCTGCAGCTCCACGCCCCCCGAGCCAGTATGGATGTTCTCTCTCGATGTGCTGATAGAGGTTCCATCCACCGGGGAAGATCAAATTATATCCTTCGCCAGTCTTGAAACGTGTCCGGTCACAAGGAAAACTTTTGCTTGACCTTCACTTCCACAGCTTTCTCCATGGCGTGAAAAGAAAGTCGATCCTCGCTGTGAGTTGAAACATGGAACTACGAGAAAAAAAAATACAGACCAAAAGATGGCCAGATACTTCGACCACGCTATTTAAGCAGCTGGTTCATGTTCTTTATTCTCTTGTTCAATAGAGACGGAGATGGAAAACAATGTCTCATGTGCACCACCTACTTTTGTCGGCCGCAGTGTGTCAAATGATTTGATAGATTAATCTATCTTAATCAATTAATATTTAATTTGACTTGAATATAATTAATTAATTTGAATAACGTGCTGACTAGTACACTTTTCATTCATTTCGCTTAATTAAGGTTAAAGTTTATGAGATCTATACTCGTTTAATTATAACTTATCCTCTTTTAGTATAGATCCCGCTCTCTTGCTTATTAAGCGAGGTAGCGATAAGAAACCTCTTAAAATCAACGCTATACTTTTAATCTTATAAATAGAATATTAGTAACTAAAAAGATCATCTATCATGGATATCCTTTGCGAAGTCGGGATAATCATCAAAATACAAAATTTTCAAGTTCCAAAAATAGGAAGACGTGCACATCGCTAGATTAAGTTAGTGACTACCGATGATCTAGTTTTAATCTCCCGCGCTCCTTACCCGCGATTGTGATCATTAACATCAGCTTGAAACCTAGCACATGAGCATGAAACGTTGGCTATGCAACATAACTGTCCTATAATTTCTAGTGTAAAACTGCAGGAGATTGTTCTCAGGGTATTTATACTTGCCCTGCTTGAGGGGCAGGATCAGGAGCTGCTACCCCATGCCGCCCAACAATTTCCTCCCTCACTGTCCTAACACCTTCCAAGGCAGGCGGTTCTCCGTTATCCTGGCCTTGCATGAGCAGTTCTATCTCTTCTGCAGCTGGAATTTCGTCGTGTTCCCGATTCCGCCACTCATGCTGGCTAGCATCCTCCGACACTATCCCCATCAACTTCAGAGGTTCGTAGGAGTTCCAGGATGATAGATTCTCGTCCGGCCTCCCAAACGCTGTGTAAATCCACTGAGCGAGAATAGGGACAAGAACAAGAAGGCTTCCGATAACTACGAGAACGATAAAGCCCGTGCGGTGATAATTTTTGAACTCGACGTTATATACCTTTTGCCAGCCACAGATTTTGTCGACCAAATCGTCCCTGCCATATGAAATGATCGGCAATGCATTCTGCAGACCCGGCAGCTTGGGATCTGGCGGGCCGGTAGCGATGCTGATGAGTTGAAGCTGCAGCTTGGCGAGGCCGTTCTTGAACCAATAGTCAACCTCCTTCTTCCACTGGCTGTCCGATATGGGGTTCTGGAACCCGGCGAACACGCCCGGGTACTTCTTTGCGAGGAGAGCCTCGGTTTCTAGGCCCATGATGACGCGGTCAATGGCTCCGGTTTGACCCAAAGCCCAGGTAAACGTCGCAATGGTGGCCGACTGCAGTGGCGTCAGGCCCCAATCCTTGGTGTAGTTGGCCCAGTCGGTCCCGGCGGGCAAGGGATCGGTCCACTGGTTCTTGACGGGGTTTCCGAAGACGTACTGATCCGTGCATCCGATGGCTGTGATGGGGCTGTCAGGGTAGTAGAATCTCTTGTCGTACGGAGAAGGAGTCGTGGCCGAGAAAAACGGGTCGGTAATAGGCCCGTCTATCCCCCGGATGGGAATTCCGTTGTTATTGAGGAAGATCACTGAGACGTCGGCATTCGTGAGGGTTAATTCCTTAATAGGAGTGAAGGTTGATGAATAGGTGGTTCCATTCGCTACGTAGTTCGATACGGCACTAAGTGGCATCGTTAATACCGTTAAGGCGATTTAGGTATCACTTGAATTGACATACCTGAGGTGGTACCCGGATGTTGCCAACTTCTCCAAGTTGCTCACAGCAAACGTGTAGTTTTCCCCAGTCACCGGGCCAAAGTAAACGCCAGTTATCTCCTCACCCGTCACGATGCCTTTAGTAATGTTGGTGAATCTAGTGACATTGAGCGGCGAGCAAATCGTTGTGCGCTGAATCTGGATCCTATCGCTGTGCGGCGCGTTAATGCCGAAGTCCTTGTGCGAATCCAGCATTTCCGTCTGCATCTTGAACGCCGGGACATCATTCGTGTGGAGACATACGTCCACGTCGAAGGGGCATGGAGTAGCGGACCACTCGAATGTCGGAAGGCGGCGCTGCGGCAGGAATTTATCGCACAGGGTCGAAGGAGCGTCGCTATTATAGCAGCTGTCGACATAGGAGACCGCCTCCCAAGATTGATTGTTTAGGATAGTTATGGCAGTATTGTCACTTTCGGTGTCGGTGAAGACGGCCGTCCAAAAGCCGCAGTTCGGGGACCGAATAAGCACCTCGACACCCTGATTATCGAGTAATACCCAAGCCGTGATAAACGGCACTCCTACAAGAAAAATACCGAAGCTGAGCGTAGCAGCACCGATTAATGGCCAGGTGCGACTGATAACTTCCCACTCACTCCATCCCCAGGCTTTCCACATTTTGCCATATGCTATCGCGAGTGATACAGGACTTCCGCCCGATCGAAGGACTGTCTGCTGCTGGCGAAAGAGAGGATCACGAGGGGCGCTCGTAGTTCCTTTGCGGAGTCGGCGGTTCAAAATGAAGCACCAGAACTTAATCAAGTCCCAAAGTCCCGCCTGGGCAAAGACTAAGAAGATACCGATGAAGATGTTAAGCAGCTCGGCTGTGTCCTTGGTCATAGTAATCTGGCCTCCGGTGATCGCATTGCCGTTCCAGTTGGTCCATCCTCGCCTATGGACATATTCGGGCTGGACGTAGAAGTTTACGCTGGAGACCATAGTTGCGGAAGCATTTAAAATATAGTAGACTGCCGTTAGATGACAGCATTTATAGAGTTGGTAGGGTGAAAGTAATCGCGTCACGCCTGGGCGATAAAAAATTACAAGACATGCTCAAGTCTTGGAAGTATTGAAATATCAGCCACAAAGTAAACTATCGTCTCCGGTTGAACAATCGTGACTGGAGTGGAAAAGCAACAGGGGTCGACCACGAAGGTAGCTGAGGCCTGGTTGGTAAATCACTACGCCACAGTTTGTTGAGCTGAAGCATTTACGCACGCCACTTCCCCTTGGCAGCTTCCACGACCGTATTGGGCCATTTGTGAGCCGCAGACTCTTCTCCATAGGCTGTTTATTATGCGCCGCCAAGGGAGGCGCCGGAGTGCGTACACACTAGACGGTTTGCACAGACCATCTGGAGTGTATAGACCGGATCTGGTGTGTACACACCAGGTTGTTCTTACACAATACACGGTTCGCACCCACCAAGTAGTGTGTGCACACTGAACACTCGTTTGGCATGTAAACTAGGTTCACGGTGCAATGGTCGCAGGATTCTGCGACTACTCACGTGATAGACCTAAGGCGGGTCACGGGATGGCTTGGCTGTTTCACTGCAGATAGAAAAATTGAAGACTAAATATATTGAAATAAACTAATCCCTTCATCAAACGTGGCCTGATAGTTCAGTGGTAGAATTCTTGCTTTGGGAGTATCATTACTACAAAGATGTAAGAGGTCTCCGGTTCGATCCCGGATTAGGCCCGAAATTATTTTTGGCCATTGTGACAATTGAAGTCGTGTTGTCTGTTGTTTGTTGATCGAGGAAGCTTTTGAGCAAATTTTTTTCCATCTCCATACAACCAACCGGCACTCCACCCCAGCGTAAGCGAGCCCTGAGAAATAAAGAGCACCCACCCTCCATGGTAGGTAAGATTACAATTAATTTGCTTATCCTTGTGCAACCTCGTGTGCGGCACCGCAGCATCTCAAGGCTTAGTATTTGCGTAGGTAACAACCACATCTTACTATGCTCTATGCGATGACTTGGAGTAACCACTCTAAGACCTATGCAATTAGCGGGTTGTCGAGTGAACATTTTCTAATAAGTTAAATAGAATAAATGCGTGTCACGTGATGACGGCTCCGGCAGCTCGTGAAGACATTTCTCACGAGGATAATATGTACACACCTTGCTGTGGGCTTGGGATATGAATAAAGACTACTAATACATCCTGTTGCATCATCTCTTCTTTTTTATTCTCGTTCGTTTGGAAGCTGCCAAATACTCCTACTCATGAGCCCCCCCACCACCCCAGCCGAGTCTTAGCACTCACCCAGCTGAAAACGTCCTCTTCTCCAACTCCTCCTTTTTTCTTGCACGCAATGGAAACCTTTACCCAGCAGAACAGAGCCTCAAAGACTGTTCGAGATGACCCCGAGAACTCAGGTCATCCCACAACACCCACATTTGACGGCCAATGGCCACCCTCACCGGAATATCTCGCGGGGCTGAAAGGCTACGCCAGAGGTCTCAGCATCAGCGATCTCAATGACCCTTTCATACCATATCATGGTACTCTACGCTTCTACAGCCTTCAACACACATGCCAAGAGTTGAACGACTTAAGTAAGAAGACTCTAGATGATACAAATGCATCCTGGCATGACTTGGAGCGAATGCGATTTCTTCTTCATGGACAAGGTAAGCCACAAGTATATCAGAGTGAATGCAACTAATTTTCCCAGCTACGGCGATGAGAGATCTTGAGTATATTAACGAGCACCTTCTCGGAATATCAGAGCAGGCATTCGTCAAGGCCACTCGAAGTCTCCGAGACAACAATCTCTCTGCCGGACACGACTCCAACGGCTGGCTCTACAGTGCCCCCAATACTCGCTCCATCGGGAGCCAGCTCGAAACAATGCTGCAAAACCACCTCCCCAAATGGATCACTTGGTCATCATCCGAGAAGAAATATCAGCCAGCGTATTATGCCCAAGGAAAATCCCCCACCAAGATCTCAACCGCCGTCCGGGTCATTGCCAGTACGATTCTAAGTTTGTGCAGTGGGGCTAGTATCATCGTCCCGATGATAGTGATGAGTTTTGATCCAAGCAAAAACAAGAGTCTGATTGTTGTGAGCGCTGCTGTCGTGTTATTTAGTTTTGTGCTTGGTGCTGTTGTGCAGGCGAAGAGTGAGAATGTGTTTATTGCGACCGCCACCTATGCTGCAGTCTTGGTGGTGTTCGTTGGGGTCAGTGGAACGAACAATTGATGCGCAGCAACCCATGACCAATGAGCAGCAAATCATATTCAACCCACATTTCTAGGCCATATTTCACCGCTTGCTCTCATATTATGCCAGATACCTTTATTCTAGTGATCCGTTTCCTTTTAAGATTGATTCTTTTCTCACACACAAGCGTAGGCCTATTATCCGAATGCAACCTTGTGGTTTGGGGATGTTCTTTGTTCTTGCTCAAGTGAAACGACTGCCCCAACCTTCTACAAGCACCCATCCGTACACGCCAAGGTCAGCGAGTTTTCTATTCTACTACCAAATTTACTCTTCAGCAATTTATTTTAAGGATGGAAGGTACCCCACGTACATCTCGTGCTCAAAAAGCAGTTGATGAGGAACGCAGAGCTGAAAGTATCGGGAGAGAACTGTACGATACCACATACCAACAATTTGAACGGGGTGAGTAATTAATTGTCTATTATCTCAGCTATTGGCTTCCTCTCAGTGCTCTTTAATATTCTGACACATTGCATCACAGCTAGGCGAATTCAGTATATCAATAGCTACACTAGGTTGGCCGCAAGATATAGCCACCCCGGGGGAAATTCAGCGGTGTAAACCACGGAGTCCTTAGGGGAAGTGGAAAGAGTGGTTTGACCCCGTTACAGTCACCACCAGATGGAAGAGGCCTCAACACAAAGCGACGGCTCGAAGAATATCAAAGAAAACGGCTGAAAGGGTTCACAACTGCAGAGCTGGAGAGAATGGAAGCTTTGGCACCACTGGACAACAGGATCTGGCGGCATGGGTTGGAAAATCCTATCGATCCTATCTTCAAAAGTCGATGGGTGACGGAAGTCGATATGCCGAGACATCGCGGTGCAATTCCTATTTTGGGAGATCATGATGGACTGTGGCTGGTGAGGCTCGTGCAAGGTGAATGCTGAAAAGTTATTATGACTGATGCCTATCCCAGATGGAAACTCCTCGAATAAAGAATATGATGAAACCAGTTCTACAACTTGCAACTCGGATGTTGGTCAACGAGTATCAGTACTCATGGTGCGGTCGCCCGATTTCTACATAGATGTTCTGTAAAGGTTCACATGACTGATCATCCGTAGGCTCGACGCCTTATTCCACGGTAGATTCGAAACCTTCGACCATCCCGATCCGGCCAAAAGAGCAAGGGATAACAATCGCTTCCAGCGATTTTACCCACGAAGCCAAAAAGACCGCTTGAGCAAACCAAAAACTATTGACAGAGACATCAAAAAAGTCGCAGAAAGACTTCAGATCAATTTCTACAGCGGCTACGAAGACCCTATCGTCGGACTCCCTGTTGCAGATACGAACAAGAATGCACAGACCTTGAAGAATTTACACCACAGCCGGGTAGAGGTCCATATTTCTATTGAATCCGCACAACCGTTACTCAGAGACGACCTAACGACTGCTGAGCTGTGAGTTACGACTCGACAATACTTTATGGCGACTAGCTGATGTGGTCTTAGAATGGGGTTGAGATTCCGACTTGCAACCACACTGGTGCACGAGCTCGCTGTAAGTTCTGACCTATTATCTCGCTCACATCAATCAAATGAATTTTAGCTACAAGCTAACATACATCTACTTAGCATGCATGCTGGAAAGCCATCGAGTTGCTCGACATGGGATCAAACAGCCGCTCGAAAGAAGACTTAATCACTGAACCATACTACGAGAATGAACCTTTGTCTGAACTTGGCTATTCATTATGCTCTCAACTTTGGGGCGGAAACAACTTCAGCATGATGCTGCAAATATACAATCGTGGCGGACCTGGCTTGCCCAACCTGGGATTTTTCAAGAACTCATTCTTCACTTCTCGGAACGCGGGGTATTCTACTTCACGCGGTGCACCCTCATTGCCTCAACCTGTTCCGGCAGGTCAGCTGGATCCATTTTTCACTTATGACTACTGGGTAGTTCCAACTTCATGGTATGGTTGCCTGTTTTATCAGGATCTGTGGGAGGTCCAGCTGAGGAACAAGAATAAGAATGCGCTGGAGATGGGCCCGCTGAGATATGGAACGCGGACAGTAGATGGAGACCCTGCTGTGAAGAAGATAGCACAAAATGAGGCTGGTAGAATAGTTGAGGTAGACTCTTTTGAAGACAGTGCTATCTCTGTCGCGGCATCTGGCACAGAGATGTCGACTCAGCAGAGCGAAAACTCGCGAAGGTCAAATGGACAAGATATTCATCAAGTGTTCAGTCTTCGGTCATCCTCTTCAAGAACTGCACCGAAAATACAGGATGACGATGAAGATGACAATAACATCGACTTTGAGATGAAGGTTCCAGAACGTCCGGTGATCCCCACTCCATTTTGTCTGCGATATGACGAAATCAAGAAATATTTGTTTGCCAATCGAGATCCTCTAGAACTGGCTTTGGACACGATGGGGACTCTTCCCGAAAGTACATTCTATAGATACATCCGTGATCATGGTGGAATTCAGATATCGGCACATGAGCTGAGGTCGTTCCTACACATGGCATCCGATAAACAGGAGCTCTTCTTGTAAGTTGGAACTGGGATAATCTTTGTTCAAACTTCAGGATTAAGTTAAGCTCTTTACTAGCTGGGAACCATTCCCCGGATCTGGAATAGTGATGCGAATTCCAGCTGGTTGGCCACATCGACCGACTGCCACGATCTCCCCACCTCAAGAAGTAGTAGACGAGGATCAATTAGACAGCCTCATGGGCGATACTGAATTCCGTGAAAAGCTATACCAGTACACGCTGGAGATGTGGGATTTGGATATGGAGTTTTTTCGTATCTGGTTACTGTCGACTGACGGAGACGACATGTGGGATGTTGATCCGCAGGAATTCGAAGACGTTGTGGTGCAGAGCGTTGTTCAGGGAAGTTCTTACTTCACGTAAGTATGCCAAATATTGTTCATCTATGAATTGCTGACTTGAAGACTGATTAGACTTGGGCCGAAGGGTATCATACGATTTTTTGAGCCTGAAAATGTCGATGAAATCAGAGCGAAGTATGCAAGTAAGAATGCGCTGAACAGACTGGAACACTTCAAAAATAGGGCAAGAATCCCGCCCAGACCATAAGATTCAATCTTTTGCGCCATCTGTGCGATGTCTTGAAAAGAGGATTGATGGGTTGGCTTCCTGGAACTGATCCTCGCCAGTCTCGCTCACAGCGAGCATGGTTTGTGCTTGATGGTCGTAAATGTTGACAAGCGGGGGTTACCACTGTAAAGGTTCTAAATTTCAGGTCAAAGAAGCATTAGAATGACTTGAAGAACTATCTATTCCTCTACATTATTGAAGACGGGACAGCAATGAGGTAGGACAAGCTTTCAGTCTTGATCGGAAGAATGTCGAGGAATCAAAGCTCTATACTGCTGCAAGCGAGTATTTGGAAACATGCCCCAGCGGGATTGCCCCTTCTGTAACTTACTGGCCTCTAGTTCTAGATATATATATACATAAAAGGAAGGATTTCTTG